ATGAAAACATTGGTAAGTTAAGAAGCATATAAACAATGATTTTTTTTAATGATTTTTTTTAGAATTGCTTGGAAACAAGAATTAATGAGTGGTGGGTAGCCGGTTCTTACACCTTGTGGTTTAGTAGAGCCAGTTTCTAAGAATCTTTTAATAATAATATCAATAGCTGATTTTGAACAACCAACTTGTTTTGCAATATTATGATATGGCATTTTTTTTGTATAGTAGCAAATAATCATGTCTTTTTATACTGATGTTAATTGAATTTTTTTGTCCATTATTTTTAAAAAGATAATTTTTGTTTTGTGAGTTTATTATTTATATAAAAAAGTTATTTAATAAAATGACATATTATTTACATGACAAATAAGTTAATATAAATAAATAAATTAAAATAAATAAATTAATTATAAAAAAAAAATCAAAAAATCAAAAATAATTTTTAGTTTGGCAAAAATATTCAATTTTTTTAAAAACTTTAATATTTAAATAACTACTGTATTAAAAAAAAATTTTTTTAATAAAACATTTTACATTCAAAAAAAATAAAATAAAATAAATTTTTTAATTCTGTTTATATAGCTAGATATAAATTTTTAAAATTTGTCTAATGACTTTTGAATATTTTCTATATAAAAATAATCTCCAAATATTAAAATTTGAATAATAATTTAATATAAATATAAATATTTTATATTTATTTATTTATATATTTTTATATTGTATAAAACTAATATATACAGTACATATAATGTTTTGTTAATCTTAATAAAGTTTTAATTTCTATTAACATTTAAATTTAAACAAAGTTTATTATCTTTTTGAAATAATCAATAATTTTTTAAAACTTTTACAGATAATAATAAAGTTATTATTTTATTTATAATAATACTTTTTAATTATAATTGCAATATTTTTGTTTATAAATGTTTAAGACTTTATATGTACTCTTAGAAACTATAGTATTGTTTGTGATTTTTACTCAAGATCTTTATTATTTTTTGTTTGATATTCACTAGCATTTATTTCTTAAAAATTATCTATTTTAAAATTATTTTTATATTACGTCTTTTGATATTATTTAATAACAAGTTTTTTATATTATAGTTGTTTTAGAATAGGATATCAAAAAGTATCAAACTAGTATTAAAATGATATCAATTTATAGTAAATTTAATATATAGGTTGTAATATACTTATATAATTTTATAATAAATTTAAATATTGAACTGATATTGAAGTAGTATCAAAATTGTATTGTTAGGAGTTCTATTCTAAAATAATTTATTTATTTATTTTTAATTTCTTATTTTTATTAAAGTATTTGTTTTTATAATAATATATTAATAATTGTTCTAATGAATATAACATTTTTTTATATTTCTATTAGTTTATATAATTTATAAAAATATTATCTCTTAAACATATATACAAAGTCTTTAATTTTGTTTAGAAATTAATAGAGTTAAACTTTTATTTATTAAATAATATCTTGATTTCTACCTAATAACTTATTATTTCATTTTTTACTTGATTTCATAAATTTCAGAACTGTATTAATTTATATATCTTTAGAAACTTTAGCATATTATATTAGCTCTTTTAAATAATATGTCTTCTTGTTACTGGTTCTTTATTTTTATCTTACTTTTGAGATAAAAATAAAATATAACAGTATATAACATTGATCCAGTTCAATATAATGTTTTTCTATTATTAGTTTTTTATTTTCTATTAATTTTTGAAATCAAATAGGCATATAATAGCATATACAAATTTTTTAAATAAAAAAATCAAAATTAGTTTTATATACTTTAAAAATTAACAAAAATCTTTTATTAATTAATCAATTATATATAATTAAAGTAATATTAGAATATTATATTAATATTATCTAAAAATTTAAAAATACTATTAAATGACTATTTATATAATAAATTTTAATTTTGTAATAACTTGTTAAATATATAGAAATTGTATTTTATTTGATAATTTTGTTTTTATATTTGATAACTTAAGTTAACTAATATTTATTAAAATGTTTATTAAAAGGCAAAAAGATATTTTTTTAGAAATAATATTTTTATTTAATCAATTGATTTCTAAATTTGATAGTATAAGTTAAACTTTAAATATTTTAAGGTATTTATTAGAAAGTATATATTAACATTAGAGTTATTTTTTGATTTTATAACATGTGTATCAAAAATGTAATATAAAAATATTTTGTTAAAATATTTTTAATACTTTAATATAGTTTAGATAATGTTATAAATAATTTAACATTTAACTTATTATAAACACATATAAGAAATATTGATTCTTTGTATATATATCTTGTCATATATAAATAAATATATTTATATTTATATTTTACTTTACTTCTTTTTTTTTATCTCTAAAGCTTATAATACATTTTTCAAATAGATAGGTTTTTCTTTTTTTTTTTTATATTAAGTTTTTTAAAAAATATATTTATTATATAGTAATATATCTCATATTCTAAAAATTAATTATATGACTAATTTTCTTATCAATTAATAAATAAATAAAATAATACTATTATTTAAGTTTTGTATACATAAGTCACATAATTATGATTCTAAGTTTATTTATTGTTTTTTTTTTTAAATATTTATTTGAATTTTTAATATATGATTATTTTTAATTATTGAAATATAAAAATATTATTTATAAATTAATTTTTAATTTACAGTATATAATTTGATATATTTATTAATAAAAAAAATATTATTTACACCACAAATAATTTAAATAAACTTTAAAATTGTATGTTATTTATTTACCAATATTATCTAATATATTAAATTAAAGCCAATAATTTGATTGTATTTTCGTTAATTTATAATATAAACTTACAAAACTTTGGTACTGTACCCAGAATCCGGTGATCATCGGCACAATTAATAAAAACGGTAATATATAAAAGTATCGTTTTTGATGCCTACGATCATCAATTAATAAGACTAATCTTAGGAAATTGTGTCATGGGACAATTATCGAGAGTTGACCTGTAAACCTAGTAGCTGTACTTGAGAGATTGATTCGTAGAGAGAAGGCCATACAGAACAAAAAGGGTTAGAAGCAATCCTTAGCGCGGTAGATTCATAGTAAGTGATAAGAAGTTCTGGATCAGAGCATATAATCTTAATCAAAAGCGTAAACAGTTCAGTGGAAAATTCGAGCTAAAAAGGTCAAATATGTCTGATTATTGTCTATAATGTAATAAAAATTTTACAGGATTTAAATGGTGTATGTCATGTAATGGAATTCACTTTCAACAAGATTTGACAAATGGACAAGTGGAAATAAAAAAATAGACGAATTTATACAAAGTCCCAGCTTCAAACTGAGTGGCACTACCAATGTATAGAATGGATACTGCATACACAACATCGGGATGTCAAATATATCGCTAAAGGAGGATATGGCACTGTGTATTCTGCGACACGGGAAAATGGTGAAATTAGGAGTTGGGATAGATCTTTTAAAGTGAAAGTAGTAATAAAGATTAGATAAGCTTAGCTCAATCGACGATCTTATAAATGAGGTAAAGAATATTAAACCTAGCTTAACTATAGTTTTATTATTAATATAATTTAAATTTTCGACTGAGAAACATTCTATTTTGTGAGTATATATACTCGTTAAGTTCTATGGGATTACGCAACAACCAGAATCATACGCTATGATGGTTTTCGAGTTTCAAGAAATGGCAGTCTCAGAAATTACTTGGACTAGATTTTTATAAGATGAATTTGAAATTAAAACTAGAGTCATTAAGAAATATTTTATATGGTTTAAGAAAAATTCATTCGAAGAAATTAGTTCATAGAAACTTTCATCCTGGAAATCTTTTATATGATCGTTATTTACAGTCAGATCTAGGAAAATTCCGAAAAAGTAATAGAAATCAACGAAAACGCCAATAATTTCTCATACTGCTATAGCAAAATTACGCAGGCCGAATCTAAAAGTGAAATAGCAAATAGAGATGTAATTGAGTGTCACTTTAGCCTCCGTGTAGTTTTAAAAAAACGATTTAATCTTTACAAAAATATGTACTGTATCATGGGGAACGCGCGTGTTTAGCATTGGTTAATGACGAGATCTGAAAATAACTTCCCGAGAATATCACCAATGATGCATTGAAAAAAAGAAAAGAAAGATCAGGAAAAATATATGATTTATTTGTTAGTATTGGCAAAGAAAAAATAAGAGGTATTGGATTATTTTCGGCATCAAATATTTCAAACCTGAGTCAAGATAATATTGATTATGTGATAGTCGAAGTTTTAAAAAAGGAACGTAGAATATACAGTAGTAGTTACTGCGTCAGTGACATGGATTGACTATCATTTTACTAAATTTTAACTGCGTTTGGGTGACCGTTATATACTTTATATGTTCTAGGGTTAGAGCCCGACAGCAGGCAATAGTCTTTTCATTGCCTTTTCTCCCTTGAAACAACCGGCTACTCATTTTTTTACATAACCGACCGGCCATTTATTTTGCAACAATGAATGTTTTGATTGATTTTTTTAATGTGTGCGTTATGCAAATGTAAATATTAACTCTCATTATGGTGAACTAAATGATTCTCGATTTATACTTTCATTTGAGAGAAATGTATTATAGCGTCTAGTGTCATTGTGCGTGTAAACAATCAAGTAACTAAATGATTCCCGTTTTATACCTTCATTTAAGAGAGCACGTAAACAAACGAACTGAATGATTCCCGTTTTATACCTTCATTTAAGAGAGCACGTAAACAAACGAACTGAATGATTCCCGTTTTATATCTTCATTTGAAAAAAAACGATCAATCTAATTGTGATAATCAATATCTATTGTGCGATGATTTTTTGTAAATTACGATATATAAAGATTCTTTTTTCAGCTCACTTTCTAACTACCAAATTCAAATAAAATTATTTCTATACAACTGCTCTCTTTGAATTTTTTTTATAACGTTAATCATGTCAGACAATGATAATGAGGTGCCAGAATTGGATCGTAGTCCTACTCCTCCACAAGTAACAGAGGAGGAACTTAATCAAGATATACAAGATTTAATGAGTGATATTGAAAAAGATACTCCTGACCTTGATGATGACGTAGATATTGCGGGTACTGATGCTTCAAAGTTAAAAAAAGTATGGGATGAAGATCCACAATGAAAATTATTCCATAAATTTTAAAAAAGGTTCGCTTAATGATTGATTCTTTTATTCCAATTATATTTTTTATACTAAATGCTTTTTTACTATTTCATTTAATAGTTTAAAGTATTACTTTTTTAGTGATTATTTTTCCTCTCTAATCATAGCCCAATTGAAAAACTAAAATTAATAGTATAACAAGATTTTTTTATTGTTTATACATGCGTTCCGTGAGTTTTTCTATATCATCCAAAAAAAAAAATACTATAAATCACATGAATTATTTTATTTCGTGCTTTTTTACTTAACCGGCCAGCCCTTTCTCACGCACTATTTTATGAAAATATATAATAAAAAATTCGTTTTATTTTTAAATTATACGTGTTTATTTAATGAAAAATGCTATAAATATATAATACAAAGCGTCTTCAGTTAAATCTCTTAACTATGACTTTGAATCCTGTAATTCTTTGGTAAAGAATTGTTATAAACCACTAACTATGATAGAATGAAAAACGCTACAAAACTATAAATCAATAATTATTTCAAGAAATATTGTTAATAAAACTAGGCCTAACAAGGTTTTTAATAAATCTGTGCTGAAACTCACTAGTCTTCGTCCCGGATGTGATATGAAATATAGAGGGTCATATACTGTACTTTTATTCTAAATTACCAGTTATAGTTATGTGATTTTTCATGATTCGAGGTATTGTAACAATTCAGCGAGACCATATTTATTGGCAGTAATTAAAATATCATTAGCATTAATGACAGCCTCACTAATCACTTGTTACATTATATTTACAATTATATATATCAACAATACTATATTACATCCAACAACCTATATATATTTATTTCAAAAGATAGAATTATGAATTTATTTTTATTAGAATGAAATTCATCAATTTATCTAAAAACAGATCAATTTATACAGTACATATGGTAAGCTTAATCATGTATACTTTAGTTTGAAAGGTGAGTTGATTATATTATCATTATTGCTGAATGCAAGTTAAATTCAAATAAAAAAATAAGCATTTTCATAATTTGAGTTTTAAGCTTCTATGAAGCGAATATATTTATTATATAGCATTGGTAATACATTTCGAATATTGCTTTGCGAATAATTAAAAATTCTTTATAACATAAGAGCATTTGTTTAATTTTCAAACTGTATACTAAATTTATAAAAATCACAATGATACAATAAACTGAAGTCCTGAATATAAAAGTCTGGATTATGAACAGAATATTTTGTAATAAATTTAAAATCTAAACATTTTAAATCTGTATTTAAAATAGGTTGTTTATCGGGATATCTCATAATAAAGCTAGATCAATCCGATTTAAAATATCGTGTATCGAATTAGATTCGAATGGGATATATCAGTTCAAACCTCTATAAATAATGTTCCACAATTAATTAGGATTGACCAATCGCATAAATTTCCTTCTGTGGGATTAACATGGGTTTATATTCTACAGTAACAAGCTATTCACCACATTCGAGAAGCATTCAATAAGCTGTATAGTATCGGTTAGGTTTGTGTATTGGCATTGAATTTTGCTTTCTTGCGGATTGTGAAACGTTTGAGCGATATTCGCCATTTCTTTGAGGGTATTTTCATTACATTCTGTACCGAAAAGGATGGTGTTAAGATATAATGGAGATCTTATCAAAATAAAAATGTTAGATGTTGGTTTTGACACAAATGAATTAAAAATATTTATTAAATTGTAATCTAGAACCTACCCTTTTCTTTTATTTTTCTGACACATTTCTATTATTTTATCTTTCGGGATCGAGCATAATCCACCAGAAATAAACATAATAACATTTTTCCTAAAAATATTAAGTATTAATAGCGGTCAGGCGCTGAAGTACAGTAATGGTAATGTTTTAGGTAGAAACGTTCATTTATAAAACGCTTTTCATATCAATTAAACCTTACCTAGATGGATTAAAGTGTCTATCGATTACTTCATCAGCTATTTTTATAGCTCTTTCAAAATTTAAGCCGCCTTCAACAAACCTCTCAATAATTTGATCTTGGATAAACTCAATATCATGTAGGTTCTTGTTTTCAAGAATGATCTGGGGATAATCATTAAATAGGATAATTGAAGTAGTATCTTGTGAAATGATCATATTCGTATTCCGATTTTGTATAGAATTAATCCGATATTTAATAAAATAATCAGTAGCCTCTAATGTAGCGCCAAATCGGTTGTTATTAGTTCCTTTTGATAATTCTTCAAGTGTTTTCAATGATGGCTTTTGGTCATTGCTTCTCATAGAGCCTGACCGATCCAACACAAAAACAATATGATAGGCAGCAAGACGGGCGTCATGACAGGAGAATAAGTGCCCATCATTAGACAAGTATCCTTTGAATCCAGCTGGCATTGTGGTTTGGGGCTTGTGGAATAATGGTAAGGTGCAATAAGATCTTTCCGAGTAATAATCCTCTAATGGGTTTGATCGATGAGTTCTATCAGGACATTCAGCATCACACTTTTCAAAATTTTCTTTATCTATAATAGAATATGGGTCTAGAAAAAGTTTAAAAGCCTGAATAATAAAAATAATAAACATTATGAAATTTTCTTTGGCATCATTATAAGATTACCCTTAAAACCAGCTCGAGCCCAAAATTTCTTGTGAGAAAGAAAATCTTTAGGTATTTTCGGATTCGAGTTAATAACAATATCTATATTAATATAAGTATCATAAATAAGAAATGTGGAATTTAATCGATATATAAATGAATTTTCTTCTTACTATCATCAATGTGCTGAACACCATTTTCATGTTGATAATGATTTTTACAATAATCAATATGTCGACGTCTAGGTTGGTCCCCGCAATACTATAAAAATCACATTGAATATTAGATTATGACTTTGATATTTATAATAAGCTGATAAAGAAAACACACATAGTTGCAATAAGTAAATGCCCCTTGGTCTCCAGTCTTTAGTTTATACCTATTGATTTGAATTTAAAAAAAATGAATTCTCCGAAAAAGTGATGCTCAATGAAAAATAAACGCACCCATCGTATTCAAATCCATCATCTTGCGAAGTAAAAACGGTATAAGTCATGTTTCCATGGATAGTATCATGAAGAGGATCGGAGTGACCATAAATTTTTGTACACTAATTGTCGAATGATATATATCAACTTATAAGTTTGAATATTTGAAAGCAGAATAAGTAAATATTTACATAATAGCCGCAGAAGGGACATTTCACATCACATTTATGTTTTGCACTTTTATCATGAATATGCATGCCGTAGTGGTTAAAATGATTTGGTGGAATTTTTTTACTACAAGGCAACGTCCTTTTAATTTGAGTGTACTACAACAAAATAATTTAATTAGCCTGAACAAGGTGATAATATGAATTGAATTTAAAAGTTCTACCGGTACCTTTGCATAAGAGATATCAGAGAGCATATCATTATAAATGGCATTTTTATCCTCTATAATTTCTGTACGACATATTCCCGGGACCTGGCTATCCGTTAGACAAAAATCAATATTAAAAAGTACGTCAAACAAAAGTTTCTGTAAATTTGTACATTACCATTCTTCTAAACACCAGTGCTCATCGCTAAATAGAGATAATATAATAAAAATTGTTCTTATTTACATGTATAAATAATTATATATATGTATAAACCATATTAACTTAGCCACAAAAGTGATTAATATGCAATCCTTGGAAATAATGAAAATGATCGGAGCTTTGACATTGTCTTTTGCAATTTATCATTGGGCATTGAATAGGACAACGGGTATCTTTACAAGAATGTTTATCATGTGGCTTATCATATGGAAATGTACAAGCATTAGTACATACGAATTCATTCGTTTTCAGTGAACAAGCTAAACCGCACTGGTGCTCAGACAGGTAATTGTGTTCTGATTCCTCATGATCAACTTCAAGAGAACAAGTCTTTTGGCAATTTCTCTTGTTGATCAAATGGCAAAGTTTACCACACAATGTCTCTAAAAATATAGTGCATTAGACTTTTTTTTTAATAGTTTAATAAAAATAACACAACCTGGAGATAGCAGAGATTTTTTACCCGAAATAAAAGACATGGAGGTGTTCTCCCTACCTCATGTATGCAACACCCCTACGGCATTCGTGCGTTACCTGTGCGTCAACTATGCAGCACTTGTGCAAACGAATTTTATTATGTTTTTAATGATCGGAATTTATTCCGGTGTATATGATGTGCAATACCGTCGGGTGTCGCATAAGCGAGGTAAGGAGAACAGCCACCCTGTCATTTATTTTGGTAATAAATCTCTGCTCCTGGAGATATCACATACTATTTTAATATCGCATATATGCCATCCGTCATGTCCAGTCTCATGTTTGCATGCTACTTTCTCCTTGTCTTTTTCATTGTGTTCATTAATTAATGCACAAGTGAAGCTGCATTTGTGATCCGTGAAACAATCGTGATTTTCCCGGTGATTCCTTTGTTTCATACAATGTCGCTTACATTTTGAACAATTTATTCCACAAAGGTCCCAATAAATTTTTAGTCCACTAATTTTCTGGTTTAACAAATCATCTCCCTGAGCAACGTAAGAGTTATTTCGTGAAGATTATTTTGTGTTTTGCTCAAACCATTTTTTAACTCGATAGATGCGTCGATCAATTAAAAAAACCAAAAATTTACAAAGTTCTTTAAACCAGGTCTTGTCATATTCAGTACTCTTGCGATGCTTTATATGCTTATCAAAAAATTTAACAAAATCCAGTAATATCTTCTCAAAATTGAATTTGCTATCACGCAAAACAAGTTTTGAATCGGCAGGAAATGTTGTGTTTTCAATGTAACTCTCAAACTCATCACTCAGCAACTTCTCGGTATCGGGAATATCTGTTGCAGTTGAGCGATCCTAATGCAGGCTCTTAGTGAGACATGTGGCTACGTGTTGCGAATAAAAAAAAATGAATCGTGTTTATTTCCATTCTTACCAAAAGCTCGCGGACAAATGGTTCAGTCTGTTCAGTACCAGTGTTTACAGCAGAATCGAATAACGATTGGAGAGTTGACGTGCGCTTGCAAATGAGAGCTTCATCTAATGGGTTCCAATCGCATAACTTTTTCAATAATTTTTTTATCCCGAGAAAAAGAAAGGGGGAAAAGGAGATAAGAATAAGAACAGAGGCAAACTGAGAAATAAGAAAAATAATGCGCTAAATGAATACCTGTAATTTGGCCAACATTGTTTTCATAAATTCAAGAAAATAATGCGCATTATTATATTCCGATGGACTTCTGTCAAGTTGACCTTTTACTTCGTTCAAAGTAGTATACCATTTTGGATCATTAAACATGGGCCATGCATAAATTTCTAATCCTGCTGAACAATATCTGCTAATAAAGTTATCTTTCCCTTCCTGTGCATGCAGCAGTTGTTATTAACAAAATTAATACTGTACATTATGAAGAAGACAGTTCACGTATAACACACTAAGCAAAATATAAAATAATCTTACTCGTCTAACGATTTCTCTAAGTTTTTGCTCAAATTCTAATGTAATCCCTCTCCTATCACCCTTAGGCACATCCTTGATGATTATGCATAATTTTCCCTGTTTAATCAAGAGTAATGTTAACCTTCAGTTAAATCATAAAGTATACCATTTTTTTCATTTTACCGCAATTTACCTTGAAAATAGTGGAATCATTTCTAAATTGATTCGCACCATCTTGGAAACTTTGAAACATTGAAGACATGTCACGGGTGATTGCGAATTGATTTTTAAATAAAATCAAGTTTCTTAGGCTCGCATTGAGTATGCTTAAAAGAAGATCTTTTGATGATAAAATCGCGATCAAATCATTAGTAAATTAACAAAAATCGATAAATCAGTGAAAAAGCTCTACCTTCTTGAGGTGTACGCTCTATGGATCCTAATCCTTCGAAATCAAATGCAGCGTAAATGGTACTTTCCGTAATTGCTGTTTCAAAAAGATAATGTCGAAGGTTACGGTTGTGGATCGAATTGTCATTAAGATAATACTTGTTAATAAATAAGTTACACAGTGACATCCATACGCCCTCGGTACATCGCTTTATTTTATGAAAATGTTAGTTAATGTGAATTTTGAAAATCCTTGCGGTGAATTAAATCATGGTAGATACAAACCATTGCAGATGCATCAAAGTTGGTTCCAACTAGCTTTAAAATTTAAGAATTAACATTAAGTATCAAAGTATTGCCTATAGAAAGAAATGAGCAGATAATCATTAAGCAATACTGTACAGTATATACATCACATGATTAAGCATATATGATTTTTCCGCAGCTTTGTTCACCCATCGAAGACACCACTTTAACCTTTTTATTTCTTAGATGATTAAAGATCCCTTCATACCATCCAAAAGATATTCCACGACTTATTCTTTCCGTGTAGTCACAATTATTGTCTTTCAGGACATGATTTTCAAGTTCATCACGTCCATCGCGTAATGGAAATAATCTGTTTTGCTTAACCAACGCTATTTGTATAGGTATTAAGCAGCAAAGCTATTCGTAAATGTTTTAATTTGTGATTATTAAAAATCCTTAATTTTTAGACCGCAAAAAAAATATCTATCATCACAAACTTTGATTATCCATTCGCCGAATTGAATCTTCAATGCGTTATTTTTAATAAGAACAGGATCAAACAATTCTTTATATCTTTTAACATCTACATGAAACTTGCTTAAAAGTACAGCAGGTTTTTGTGTTGTCCTTATTTTCTCACACATTTTGCTGATATATACATTAAAATTTTCAGCTAATTTCGTGATCTGATTTGTTTCTTTGTCGTTCGCAAGAATCTCTGGAAATATTAGCAACTGTGGTGCTTTGCTTATGCCATTGTCAATACAAGGACTGATGGGAAACTTTTCATACATGTCTGAATAAACATCAATCAGACCGTTAGATTTTGGTTTCTGTTCGATTGTGAAGGCAAACCACTGATTGCTGATCAGTGAATCTGAGAAGTGGTCCTCAATTTTTAGTAGAGTATCACTAATTATTTCTGTAACCAACTTTTTCTCGTTCATGATGCAGATATAATCTCCTTTTTTGATGTCACGTAGGAAATTGGTTTCTTTCCCGATCACCTTGGAAGGGTTTTTATTCGAAGGCTTAACATGTTCAGATGAAGGTCCTATAGTTTGTTTCTGAAATCTAACTTCTAGCCTCTCGACATATATTTTAGCCAAGAGAGATTCAAATCTTCTCTTTTCCAAATCAATGAAGCTTAATGAATTTGCTCGTTGCAAAGAAGAGAGAATTGGCAATAATTTGCTGCGTGAAGGGAAAATAATGATGGCAATGCAATCACTATAAGAGAGCAAAAGTGTTTAATAAAAATCAGAACTATTAAATTTTAGTCTAGTAAGATAAATTGAACTACCTTTTTGCGCCGGTGATTCAAATCTAGGCGCGAAATAAATATGGGCTTTTATATGATCACTTGATCCAGCTTCTCTTTTGAGTGCCACAATGCACAAACCATTTGATGCACCCATCACATTAATTACATTACGTGGCAATTCTATAGGCCTCGATCGAAACTGGTTTGTTTTGAGCCCGAGAATTCTTGCATCACCACTTTTTTCGACAAAGCATAGGTCTTCTGATCCATGAATAAAAAAGATTTTCTGAATTTCGGATTCAAGATAAAGATTCTTAATAACAGAATGTTGAAAAACGACCAATAATGTTTCCTCGAATCCATAAATGGATAACTAATACCAATAAATATAATTTAGTTATATTCAATGCTGAAATGTGAATATAATAAGATCTTACAGTTGAGTTTGTGACTTCGTATAATGCAATATAGCCCAAGATTCCATCAACAGCTATCAAGCTATCTTCTTTAAGACCAGGAAAACTCTTAATAGGTATCTGTTCAATGGAGCTAGAACGACAGACATGAAAATCGAGTGATTGTTGATTTTTGTTCCAGAAAAAAACAAAAATGGTTCTACTATCAAAACGAAAGAGATATCTTTACACGCAATCATATACATTATTAGAATTTTGATGATTAATTAACAAACAAACCACTGATTAATGGATTTGACAACATTACTTTAGTTCAGTGAAAGATGGGTCAAACAAATATTTCATTCTTTCCCTTAATTTTAGAGTTGGAACATGATCTGGATTCTCGCGAACCATTTCAGCTTGATAGGTGTCAAGTTGAGTTTCATAAATTGTAATTTTAACCTCAGGAGGAATTTGCTCAACATAGGCATAACTTAAATTCCAATTGTTTCCTTATATTAAAATATTAGTGATAAGCAAATGCAGTAAAAGTGATGTAAAAAATGCGATACTAGACATTTAGCTTCATACCTGGTTTTTTAGTAAACGATTTAACTACCAATGAGTCTGGGCTGCAAATTTATAAATTGCAAATTAGCGCGAGTATAATATTAAAATAAATATTGCGCATTGTATACCTGTTAAGATTAGATGCCTGTCGGATTTCGCCACGAATTCTTACAATGTATTTTTCATTTATTTTGACTGTCTTTTCCTTAAACTCTGCTTGATGATTCATCAAAGAAGACTGAAACTTCTGAGAATGTAAGAGATATTCATGTCGCGAGTATTCTTTACGCAGCTGATCTCTCCAAACAGTGTATTCCTTTAGAAACATGATTTTTACTCTCTCACTCACTTCCGAATTTTCGCCTGAGCTAGAAAAGTTTTGAACAAATTGTTGATCCGGTATGTCGTCGCGGATTTCCCTCAACGCATTTTCATAATCTGAATTTAGGTCATTATTCGAAAATTTTTTTAAAATCTTTTTAGTATATTGTCTAACCGCATTTTTTTTATCCTTTGTTAAATTATTATAAATAAATTTATTGCCGTTTTCAACGGATAATTGGTGTCTCTTAATGATGGAGTCACTAGCCAAGTAGCGTCTCTTGAGGTGCTTCCAATTTTTTGAGTCGATATTTCCAACCTTCTGTTGCAATTCAGTAATCACATCAGGATAATTTTCATTAATTCTGTCAAAATCTATACAAAAAATTCAACAGAAGTTAACACAACGTTTGAATATCAACGTACTTTAAGTCGATCATCAATAAACCTACCTTCTTGAGCATGTTTATGTTCATTTTTTCCTTTGAATGAATTTTCAAATACCCTAGTGATAATGCGTTAGATTATGAATTGAATATACCGTACATATAAAGTGTATGGTATATTATATTGTTAAATACATACCCGTATGTTTCACATAGTTTATATATGAGCATTGAAAAAAGGATATCTGCATCAACTTTAATAATATTATCAATATCCTTCTTTTCTTTCTCGTGATCTTTACGAGTCATCTCCATTTCATCTTTATATGCTTTGATTATATCGCTTTCTATAGACAAGAATTCGGCCAAATCTATCAACTCAGCTAAAGAAACGGACGAGTCTATTCCCAGATTATAATTTCTTATTTCATTAAGGAATTCGCTAGCATGTCCACTCGACTTATGTGTTTCCTTGGTTTCAACCACGTAACTGGTGATAAATGATTGGTTATTGCATGACTCTATTGGCATGGCAGGAGGAAGGCTCGAGGGCAGAGATAACTCATCTTCTTTAGAGTCCCTATTGTCGAATTTAAGCTTTACAAAAATAAAAGAAATGACACTTATGTATCCACCTTATATCATTGTACACCATTTAAAAATGAATCTTTGCTTACTTTGAATCCATCGTAAAAGTTAAAGTCTTCTTCTTCTTGTCTTCTTTCTTCTACTCTATATCCATAACGGATATTATCGTCATCGTCCTCATCATCATCATTAAAACAATAATTCAGATGTTCAAAGTCGAAGGTCTTAAGATCTTGCGCATTCATCAAGCAGAAATGAGCGTTCGTCAATTCTGTAAGATATCTAGAAATAAATAAATAAATGGGTAATTATTTTCGAAGGTGGACCGGAAATTTTCTGGTGTGATCCTAAAATTTATATTATATATGCATTGTTTAAAAGCTGGGTCCGAAAAAATCATATCTAGCATTTTTGTCGCCTTCAAAAATAATTACCCAAATATATATATTATAAGAGTAAAATAAATAAATTCCGTTGCTATATTATTATCTAACCTGTGAAGGTTCACCATATTTTTTTTTTTTCGAGAGGACGTGTAATTTCCATAGAAATCTTTTTCAGGCCAATGGATAAGAAAACCATGTTAATTTTCAACTAGGAGATAAATTCCGGGTTTTAGATGAGGCATTGTTAATTCGGAATACTCATATTCATTCGTCTGAGATTTCATAAGCAGATCATGACTAGAGCAAATTTACATAAATAGTTAAAACAAATTCCATTAAATCAAACTAAAAAGAATATTATACAATATATGGATGAACAAACATTCTTTTATCGATTGAATTCTTTTGCAGTAAATATATTGTGATAGTTTCACGATTTCCATAAATTCCGACAAAGCCAAGTGATCTCGAATTCAAAGAAGAGTAATTAATTTCGGAAAATGATTTAAAGCTGTTTGGTACCAAATTGTTGCAAAGTTTCATCAGGAACTCTTGGGATATGATGTTCTTGTCAGTTGTTAAATTAAAAAAAATTTTTTTATTAAATGTTTGCTATCGATTATCTGTGGAAATAAATAAACCTTACAAAATCCGACAGATCCCGTGTCTTTGCACAAATCAATCAGGCGATAAAAATTGTGAATTTGGTTACAAAGATCCAGATCATCATATATGTCCAAAATGGCATTCAAACTTTCTGCTCTCATAGAATCATTTGAAGTAGCTTTAGGACTATTGGTGCAACTACTTTGATCCGAATTTATGTTCAATTTTCTTTTTCCGATATTTTTTAACTCTTTATTAACCGTATTATTACTTTCTACGCATACAGAGCCGTCGGAGGAGTTAAGGTTGTCGGTGCAATTAATTGAGCTCATGTCCCTTTTCGTTACCAGATCTTGGAGTTTGATCGACAGACGCAAGAGGATTTACTACTTATAATATCCCCGTTAATTTAATTTAATATTAGCATAATGGTATAGTTTTCAAGTCATAAACAACATATTGAAGCTTAATTATTAATCAATTTACCTGTATTTCGATTCAAATTATCGCAATTAAAATTCGCAATGATTTCAACTCCTATTAAGGGTGAAAATGTACGTTAAAAATTCATGACATCGAGTGAAAGACATCTGAATACCCTTTATACAATTGTTAAAATATCCTTTCTAATGCTATATTTACATTCTCGTAGTATCGCGAATTATTTGTGCTTTTATAATTTCAGAATATATGATTTCGTAATAACATACCTGGGACTGATCAAGTTTTTTTCATATTTATTTTTTCTTTGAAAGATAAATACAAAAAATTGTTCTTCTGCATACTGTACTTACATACTGTATAAATTAAAAATTTAAGCCTTGTCAAACATACATACCAATATCTATTTTGGAGAAAAAATGATAAACTTTAAGCTTGTCAAACATACATATCGATATCTATTTTTGGAATTAAAATAACAAATTTTAAACCTGTCAAACATACATATCGATATCCTATTTTGGAATAAAAAAAATGAAATTGCCGATCTCCAAATTTTTTTAAAAAAATTACCATTGTATCACACATCGTCATCCTGGTTATTGTTTGGTGAAGTTCCCTGTTTATAAATCCGAGGGGCTATTGATAAGTAAATAAATAAACATAGCATAATTAATGGTTTTACTGTTTCCCATAACAGTGTGATGGGGAATCGGAGAGTCTGTCGCTAACCGGGAGTAGAATTTGCGTAACTGTCACTTTAGTTCAATAATCAAAACTCAAAAGAGGCGGATTTGACTTGACCGAATTCTCTCTCTTTATTTGATACTTTTCTTCGTTCTTTTATACATGTTTTAACGGACATTTAGATGGAAGCTTTTAGAGTACAAAAGAAAAGGGTCGAACTTGATGGAACTTTGGAGCTATTAAAGGTAGGTTATTCTAAATTACATAATATATTTTCCCATGTTCGTCATTAATTAATCACTGGCTGATGTTTCGCGATACTCCGGTTAAAATTGCTATATGACTATAGTTGTGTCTAATTTTACCTCTTACAACAGGTTGTACGAATCCCATTTACGGTACAGTGCATGTCGAAAATATTTTTGAAATTAAACAATTTATTTAAATTTATTTGCTGTTCTGCGATAAATAATTATAATGGCAATAAAAAAAGGAAAAAATAAAGATTTCTCATCATGTGGGCATTATTTGATCATTGTCTATTCATTTATCCCTATTACAATCGTAAATTCATAAATAAGTACAAAATTATTGTCAAGTGATTAATCTTTATTTTAGTATCGCAAGGAACAATCTTGCCATGACATGACAGCGAATAGCATTCAGTACTAGTGTGATTGTGACAAAGTGAAAGCATGTCACTAATCATATGACTCCCATTGCTGCAACAATGCGAGATGCAAATTTGGTTCCAACATATCAATAATTAATGATACAAAATTAGTGTGAAAATCATTGTAGTTATTGTTATATAATTACAGCTTATTGTCTCAGTTATTGTTCTTTGATTTTTTTTTATATATTTCTTTATTATTTTTACATTGACTACAATCAACATTATTGAATGTACAAAATTGGGACACAAAATTGGGATGTCAATAAAATCGATGTTCATGCGGGAAAACTTTACACCATAATATTGAAGAATTAAGTAAATATTGTTATAATTGCTTCTTTACAATAAAAGTTTTTGCTTTTTGTCTTGATTATTTATAAATGTCTTGTGTTCAAATTCAATAAAATAAGCATGTTCCATGTTTCAAATAAAAAAAAAGTTTTTTATTTTAAAATTATGTTTATTATTTATTTAGAATATTTTGCCTAGATAATACTTAAAAGAAATATAAATAGTATATACAGTGCAGGACAAAAATAATTGCACTGATATTTTTTATTATAATTTAATAAATAATAATTTGATTGAGATAAAACTTTAAATATATATATATTATAACCTAATTAATAAATTTATTCAAAAATATGAATTTAAAATCAAAAAAAAAATCAAAGAACAATAACTGAGACAATAAGCTGTAATTATATAACAATAACTACAATGATTTTCAC